GTTCTGAGCCTGAGCGCGGATCTGCGATATCCCCACCATGTGGCTGACATATTGCTGCATGTGGCACAACCCAGGCTGCTGACCAATATCCGCACATCAAATCAAAACCATCCCAAAACATTCCAACGCATTTCAGAGATCGAGGTCGTGGCACCCTCCACAGAAATTGCCTGCAATGATTCAACATGATTCAACTTTCATGGAAGATCATCCGAGATCATCCAAGCATGGCGAAGCCAAACAGACCTGTCTGCTTTGACTGGCAAGTGCTTTTTGGTTTTGGTTTTAAGATGTTTTAAGTACCACATAGCGCCATTTGCTTTTGCTTTTGGTCTGGTGTATGGTGCTGCGTTCTGACGTACCAACCATGTCACACGATCATATATCATCTCTTCATATCTCTTCACTGCTCCAGTTCTGACCTCGCTGGCAAGTAAGCCCTGCGTCGCAGCCTGAGCACAGTTTTCCAAAATTTCTTGCCCAGAAGCCAAAAACAAACAACACCGAATTCAACCCCTATGCGGCTGCACTTCCCTTGGAATGCGGCCGCACCCCGGCTACGCCCAAATCAGCCTCTGATGGGACCATGTCTTGAGCAAACAAATGGTGTTAAACATGTTAAACCATGGCGACAATCAAACGTCCACCAGCTTCTATACCCTCAGAAAAAAGACTGTCAGAACCACACACCAAGTTGTGTGACAACATGTGACAACGTACCTCGCGTGGCAGCGTGTCTTCACGCTGCGGCGTTGCAGCTTGCGCAGGAATCAAAGTTGTTGTCGCAGCCTCGTCTCGCATTTGGAGGAGGCGCCAAGCAACCAAAGAAGGCCAAGATGAGCCAAGATGGGTCAAACATAGTCGAACTAACTTCATCCTGTTTTAGTCCAATATAGGACCACACAGGACCTCAGATCGGGACAGTACCCCAAGCTGCATTCAAAATTGCCTCCGCCAATGTTTTTCTTTGGCAACTCTCATTGCGCAGCGTAATAAGCGCAAACGCAACATAGTGAGATATAGTAAGGTACGGTATGGTTTTGGTTGTCAACAAGAAACGCCTGATGAAAAAGATTGAACATGCTCACAGAGCGCTCTGATTTCTGTCCAACCTCAGCTGGAAGCATGGCATTCTGAGCCTTAGCGCGGATCTGCAATATCCCCACCATGTGGCTAACATATGGTTGCATGTGGCACAACCCACGCTACTGACCAATATCCGCACATCAAACCAAAACCATCCCAAAACATTCCAACACATTCCAACGCATTTCTGAGATCGAGGTCGTGGCACCCTCCACAGAAATTGCCTGCGATGATTCAACATGATTCAACTTTCATCGAAGATCATCCGAGATCATCCAAGCATGGCGAAGCCAAACAGACCTGTCTGCTGTGACTGCCAAGTGCTACATGTTTTTGGTTTTGCGCCATTTGCTTTTGGTTTTGGTCTGGTGTATGGCGCGGCGTTCTGACATATCAAACACGTCACACTGTCATCATGTCTTCACTACTCTTCACTGCGCCAGTTCTGACCTCGCTGGCAAGTAAGCCCTGCATCGCAGCCTGAGCACAGTTTTCCGAAATTTCTTGCCCAGAAGCCAAAAACAAACAACACCGAATTCAACCCCTATGCAGCTGCACTTCTCTTGGAATGCGGCCGCACCCCCGGCTACGCTCAAATCAGCCTCTGATGCGACCATGACTTGAGCAAGTACAGGTGATGTTAAACCATGGCGACAATCAAACGTCGACTATCGTCGACTAGCTTCTACATCAACTGTCAGAACCACGCACACCAAGTTGTGTGACAACGTACCTCGCGTCGCAGCATGTCTTCACACTGCGGCGTTGCAGTTGGCGCAGTGATCGAACTTGTGGTCGCAGCCTCATGTTATCTCATCTTGCATTAGAGGAGGCGCAAAGCAACAAGATGGGTCAAACATAGTGAAACTAACTACATGCTGTTTGACTCCAGTATAGGACCTCAGATCGGGACCGTACCCCCTCCTGCATTCAAATTTGCCTCCGCCAATGTCTTTTTGACAACTTTTGCTACGTTGCACAATGCACGCAAACGCGGCTATCATGTTGATCATGGAACAAACAACTACGCGACAGTGATGACAACATCGCCTCCATGGTCCCTTCACTTCGCATCTTCTTGGTTGGTGGCTCCATCTCTGCTTGCACCTACCACCACCAACACAACAGAACAACAGCTGGACATGTCTGATCAAACAAGTGCAGAGTCATCCTTCTGATATCTTCTGATGCATTCTGATTTTGTTGAGATATATGATGTAACATCTTGCCACCCTCCAAAAATACAGCACCATCGCCCTGTCTGGAAAGCGCGCACAGCCAGCCCATTCTTATTGGATTCGAGAACCATCAAGAACCCCATAGCTGCCCCATGCTGTCCCTACACAGATCAAAATGAAACTGCCCCCCCCCCCCCCCCACCCCCCCAAAAAAAAAAAAAAAAAACCCCCCCCCCCCCCCCCCCCAAAAAAAAAAAGACAACAAACTTCTTGCAAAAAACGACAAAACATGCCAGCGCATGTCAAAGATCGTCAACACATGTCAAAGCCAATGCATTCGGAATCGTTCGGAATTTCGCGCAATCTCAACATCGATAAACTGGGCGACGCCTTGCGTGCGTCGTCTATAGGGACAGCCACACCTGCTGGCTGCTCAACACGCACACGATCATACATGCACACGCTGAAAAACACACAGCTGCACATTCCAGGATTAACTACAGTAATTCTCTTCCAGCATCTTCCAGCCTTGGGCACATCAACCCCCAATTCGCCCAAATACTTCTTAGCCTCCCTCAAAGATCTGAACTTCTTGTGGTCCACATAGTAGCATTCTCAGGAAACACTGCACTGTGTGGCATTGCGTGGCATTGCTAATGGCTATACACCATGCTACACCCAAACCATCTCAAGATATCTCAAGATATCTCAAGTCTCAAGGTATCTTCAATTATCTAAAATTATCTAAATATATCTAAAATTATCTAAATATATCTAAATATTTCCCCCTGAAATTCTGAAATATATATATTCTTTTGATGTCCTGTAGGGGAAACTGCTAGGCCTGCGGGCTAGTAATACTTTCTGCACGCACTCCGACGAAGCATTCTGAGATATTCCGAGAATCAATACTCAACATTGTTCTTGATTCTATCTGATTCTAGAAAATGTCCTGTGATGTCCTGTGTCTGCACTGTGAGCTGAGGGTGGCACTGTCGATGGCCCCCACACTCTCGCCGAAAGTTCGCAGCCGTTCTTCTCGTGCGAGGAACATGACCAGGGACGAGGCAGAAGCCAAATGGCTGCACTATGCTGCCATTGCACCCAAGGAATTTTGTAGAAACCCCAATGATGCGCATCAAAGATGCAAACCTGGACATTCCTACCCAAATAGATTCTATCCCGTTGCACCATGTTGCACCATTTGGCTTTGGTCTGGTGTATGGCGCGGCGTTCGGACATGTTCTGACATATCAAACACGACACACTGTCGTCATGTCCTCACTACTCTTCACTGCGCCAGCAGTTTTCCCAAATTTCCTTGCCAAGCTGAGAAACAAACAACACCGATTTCGACCTCGATCCAGCTGCACTTCTCTTGGAATGCGGCCGCACCCGCAGCTACGCTCAAATCAGCCTCTGGTGCGACCATTTCTTGAGCAAAACAGAAACAGGGGGAGTTGGCTTCTAGACCACGACCAACACACCTCTTGTCACTTCTAGATACTTCTGGGATTCCCTGATCATCCCTGATCCAAAGCCAGCGGAGCCCTGATGGACGCGCATGGACGCAACTCCTTCTCCTGCTCCTTCTCCAGTGTCTGGAACTCAGCTACCCTTACTTTCTAGCTCTTTCTGGCCTAGATCTGGGATCTGTCCACCCCTAGATCCAAAAACACTCTCTATAAAATGACCTGTCTCTACCCCCTCCCCTCACCACAAACACAATTTAAAAAAAAAAAAAAAAACAAGGCACCACCGCGTGGCTCGAAAAAACTCGAGCCACTTGCAACATCCTACCTTCTCCTCTTCCTCATCACTCCATTTCTTCATCCGGGATTGCCACAACCGAACAAGTTTGATGCCACCTCACCTACCTGCATGCCCACTCCCTTTCCCTTTTCCTTATCCTTTCGTTCTTGTTTATATTCCTTTCATTTTTGTCCATTCCTTTCCTATCCTTTGCTTTCCTATATTAGAGTTGTATATAGATCAAATTGTGCAATTCCACCAACATCCACCAACTATTGAAATTTGTCAGTTTTCATCCCCCCCCCAAAACCATACCTCCTAAATGAAAGCAAAAATGACATTTCATTATGTGACCCACCCCCCCCTGGAATTTTCATTTATAAGAGGGTACTGATGCCTAAACAAATTACCCTCATGATGACTGGAGGGTTTACTTGATCCCTCTTCAACGGCGGGTGTTGGGGTTGTGAGTGACGGTCCTAGAAGAAGGGAAATAGACCAACACCCGTTGCTTGGGCTGTCCGGATCCCCGATCGTCAGGCCTACAACAGGCCTTGACAAAAAAAAGAACCGAAGCTGCAAAAAAAAAAACATTGGTTGGGATCCCCCCGAATTAAAATACAACAAACCAAACACATGGAATTTGAAAAAACAAAACTGCTCATGTGTTTCTTCATGTGTCTATTCTTTTGTGGCCTGTCACATCCATTGACCAGTTGAGCCGAAGTTGGGTCGTGGCAATCCGAGCTGTGGGTCGTATACCGTGCTGTGGGCTTTTCAACACGGTCCCTGAGCCTCGCCACGCAAACACTGCATATGACCTACATGTTGTCTTTTGAGGATGATGTGTTTGTTGGCTAGTTAGACCTATTCAGTAGCTGTTGATATATACTATATACTATATGTATGCATGTGTATGCCATACAGTGGCTGAGATTTGGACCCTCCAAAGATAGAGAAACAACACAGTCCCGTCCCAGGCACTGATGGCCCGGTCAAGGGCGCCGGTGAGCCAGCCAGAGACGTCATCGAAGTAACAGCGATCCGTGGGTGAAGCCTTCCTCAGATCCAACCATGCCGATACACACAAATGCCGAAAATCCTGGTTCCAGGAGATGCACTTTGGTGATTAAAAAAAAAAAACAACATGATGTAAGTCACCGGGGTGTCCAGTGAGCTTCGTTGCTCCAACATCCTGCCAAAGCCCTGGTTAAGAGTCTGGCCAGGGAAGACAGTTCTATTCAGATATTCAACCAACACACCAAAGGGTGTGCAACCTATCCACTATATAGACAAATATGTTCTTCAACATATAAACAAATTTGATTATTATATATGTATATACTTATATGTACATGTATATATTTCTCGCAGAAGTAACGAAAAGAGAACTGCCCGACATGAGGGTGTTGTCCAATGATAGAAGAACTTCTACACCATACAAACCACACAACCTTGCATAAGAACACATCTCAAAAATGTCGTCTCCGATTTGTCGTTGAGTTTCATCTCCGGAACCGCACCTTTTGTCGCTTATTCTCTGACACCTCCTTCTTCAATAGCGTTTCCTTTTCAGAGTGGTCATTCCCTTCACCTCCCGTAAGAAACAAGATTCTCCTTTGGAGCCAAGGGCAAGCGCCTCCAGAGCTCGTCCAAGCGCTCCAGGATCTCCTTGTCCAAGCAGGTTGACTCAGGTTGACGGCTCAACCCACATGGAAGCGGAACATGGATAAACATGGATCCTGGGAAGACAAATTTGTAGTGTCATCGTCATATATCGTCATCATCATCATCATCGTCATCATCAATGAACACAATGGCAATCTTGAGACACCATCTCAAATTCTTGGTGGCCAAGGCAGGTCTCTAAATCAGTGGCAGCACGCCTCCTTTGTTCTGGGATCCCACTGCCTGGGTGGGACTGTTGTTTTCTTTTCAGGATACATGTCTGACTGTTCTGTACCCACAAGCTTGAAACTATACCAAGTGAATCTCCCAGTCTTTCCCCCACCATCTTCAAGCAGCTCGCGGTCACCATTGTGAGTCTGTCCTCCCCATCGGTCCTCCCAGTCCCCATGGTCTTCTCCTCTGCCACAGCATCGTCCACCACGGTGGTGCCTGCACCTGGATGCTCGCACTGCCTCGGGATCACTGTCAGCGCACACGACGCCTCCGTCGCAGCGGTCGACGTAGACGGAGTCCGCCTGCAGCCGGTGCCAAGCCGGAGCAGCGAGTGGGAAAGCGTCATCACCCAAAGAGAGGTGATATATATATATATAATATAGTCTAATGATATCTACAATTATCTATATATCGTATATATATAGACCCTTATGCCTTCCAAGACCAGTAAGAACAAAACATTGTATATATTGGTTTTGTAGTGCAAAGTCTTTTGTAAATATTTGTAAATCAATCGTTGTTCGATGTTGTTCGGGATTCGAACCATTAGAAGCCAATGACGGTGGGAGCCCTAGGAGCCCTAGAAGTCACAGTCTCAAGCGATTCAAATATGCCATGGCATCCCAGGGCCCAGGTTTGATCGGGGATGAACTACCAGCGCCCTATCAATGGATATGGGGTTTCTCTAAATAGCCCCGAACAGAGTGAATTTTGGGGTGCCCATGAACCACCCAACTCACGTGGGTCCTGGTATATGGTAGCTACACTCTGACTCACTGACATGGAAGTGGCGAGCTGCCTGTTTGTAAAGGAAATGGTTTTCCAAAGGCCCAGGCCATCTACTTCCATGCTAGTGAGTCGGAGTGTATTTGCTAATTACTGACTTGTGCTTATTAGTATATAGGGAATAAGGGAAGTGTCGCTCCCAATAGACATTTGCTTTGGATCTAGCCACCCTCATTCCCTACGAGTCGCATGATTATTCCATTCCAATCCTTATCTGCTAATCCTGGAAGCCGAACGGATTTTCAGCCAAACAAATACCACGAGTCGACCACGAGGAGTGGTCATGTCATGTCGGGAGACCCTGAAGTTGGACTTCTATAAAGAGATACCCTAGGGATCCAATCACCTTCTCAGCTACATAACATGCAGTGTCTCTAATATTCTCTAATCACCTTCTGAGAAGGTACTTGGATCCCTAGAGATATACAATGGCGACTCAAACCCAGAGGTGTGCACGACCGAAGAACACGTACTGTACCGTGTTCAGGTGGTCAATCTTACACCCGTCCACCATGGCTATCCAGTCTTCGAGATGGATATCCAGTCTCGGGTGGCAGCAGAAAGCACCGCCCTGAACGCAGTGGCTTGTTTGAGACGCTTGATTGTGAAATCTGTATAATAGACATTCCTTCTGTAGGGGCCCTGGTAGTTCATCGCGGATAAAACCTGGGTTTCCCCAACCTGGCCTTCCGCATTCATCACTTCCCTTCAATCCACCCTCCCACCGCGATCCGTCCTCTCTTCGCTGTCAGCAGCGCCAGTAGCGCCCCAGGTGCTGAAGGCCTCTAAGACACCCCTGTGTCCACGGAGAGCTGCCGCCTGGCGTTGGATGTACAAAAATCAAATGACATCAGTTTGAAGGCTTGAGATCCCAAAATGATCCCAAGTGAATCCATGGCAGGTATGAAATGTCTAGCTAAGGCTGTTGTGGGTAGTTGAGTGGTATCAATGTGTTGGTTTAGAGATTCTAGATCAGTTCAATACCTAACTGAATTCTAATGATGACGCCATAAGTCAATGATCAATGCCACTTAGACTGGATTTGGAACACTGAACCCAACATCGATAATCGAGACGACGGAACATGAGGCATGATCATGGATCATCGGACTTGCCTTTGGCTGAAGCTCAAAAATAGGGTCAGTGCCATGAAAAGCACAAATCGACCAACAGTTGCAAGTCCCTCAACCTTTGTTGAGCCTCTTCCGTTTGATGGAACACCATGGAACACCCGCCCAAACCTCATTCAAACCATGCTGGTCCCTGCATGAGCCGTCACACCGGCTCGCGTGGTCGTTCGGCGCGGGGCCTCCCATGGAGAGATCCCTGCGTTGTCACAGAGGTTCAGGTCCTAACCGGCGGACCGGAGGACGGACCGGTGGTCACCCACCCGGACTCCGAAACCATCCGGTTGGTTGGTGCGAATTCGGAATTCGGGTGGAAGGGACACATACGAATGGATGGTCGGATTGGGACATGGACCCAGGTGAGATTGGTGTGGTACAATTGCTATAGGTGCGATCATCGGTAATATCGGTGATATAGGTTTATAACATATAATGGCGACCAGGTAGTCTCCCTGGCCCCCGATCCCAGGTCAATAGGCCGAGGCTCAGCATTTTCAGAGGCTAAGAAGGATATCAGCTCTGCAGCTCCTGCCATGGGAGCTTTCTTGGGTTCGTCAGAGCGGTCAATAGAGGAGAAGGGGCAAAATGCCCTGGCTTACATATCATAATCGCAATATACAAGTAATTTGCATAGCCTGCGGGCCTGTTCAAACGAAGATTTGAGCGGTTGCGCTGGCTTCACATATTGGAGAATGGAACACATACCGCTGAATGAACGTGTCCCTCCCTATATTGTCCCATAGGCCTATAGAATCGGGGTTGAAGCTTTCGAACCACTTCCTGAGTGTTCTGAAGGACTTGCAACGCAAAAGCAAACACTTGCCATGTAGCTATAGGACAACTTCAGTGCAATGACCAGCATCAAGAACTACATGTCCGACCTCTGCAAACACAAGAGACGCCCAGCACGACACACGAGAGACGCCCAGGGAGACCTCTGAGGATCTCCCTCATGCGGTTTAGATGTTCGCCTTAAAGACTCCCACCCCCACTCTCCTGTCAGGGCGGCTAAGAAGGTCGCACTTTGGCCATACCTGGGCCATGGGGTTTAGCTTTCTGGCGCCTGCATGATCTCGCCCAAATCGATATTATGGCTGAGCCCATGGTCGAAATCGTGTTCAATTTGCAAGGTGAGGATGCTCAAGAGTTACACGTTCTTGAGACGTTCTTGGGTTAGCAGGGCCAAGCGGAAGTGTTCCTATAGCAAGCCTTGCATGCAACAGGCCGACAACCAAACTGTATATATAACATATAAGTGTGTAACATGCTTTCTCCACACCGTTTCCGACTCTGAGCAGATGGATCAACAAAGCATGGCTCCAAGTGGCATTCGACAACAACTGCAGCACAACTTCAGAAAACCAGTGATACAGTATATATTATACACTAATTACAGGTGATGCCACAATGTCCTAAATGATCCTAGGTGGATGCTCTGTGTCACCAACAGCTTGAGGACTCACTTTGGCCTACATCAGCTGCCAGCACTCCCCCAACCATCCAACATCATTCAACGAACATCACATTCCCTCACAACGTCCCTATATCTGCTACACAAGTCCCCAAACACCCCAACCACCGGTTCACGCCCCCACACCGTGGTCCCGCCATCCGCGGTCCGTGGTCCCGCCCCAGGCGCTCGTTCCGCCCGTCCACCCGCGCGCCGTCCGCCACGGCGGCACGCGCGCCGAGGACGTCGCCCCGCTCAGCGGCGGAGCTCAAGCGCTGCTGGGCGCTGCGGCGCGTGGCGCCCAGGTCCAAGGACCGGAGGAAGTCCTGGCGGGGGGCAGCGGTCTGCAGGGGGGGCAAGGGGGCGAATTAAAGGGGCTGGGGTCTATAAATATGCTTGTGGGCTGCGAATCATCAGATAGTAGGACGGAAGTTCGTCCTGGATCTTCGGAATGTGTACAATGTCTGACTCGACATCGTAATTATGACATGTTACATGTCGAAGAAACAAGAGAGGAGGTGGCAATGGATGCCGTGGCCTTCTCATCCTTTTTGGTCACTCACTCACCCTCCGCTGCTGGGAATGTTCATTGTTCTCGATGATGATGCTTATTGTTATTTTCATTATGATTAATCTTCATGTACCAGCTTCTTCGAAGTGACCTCTAATAGAGGTCACTTAGCAAGAAAATTTCAAGTGGCCACTTAGACCTTTATTATCGAAGCAAGTGACCATTTTTTCAAATACATATATCGAGACAAGTGACTGTTTTGACAATTCCGTGTGAAGAAACACCATTTGAGCCAGTGGATGAACCGACCCGAGCAACACCAGTACCCCTGGGAAAGGGGGAAGGGGAGAAGAGATGAACTTGGCAATCACGAAGCTCGCATCGTCCATCAGCACCTGCAGGCTCACGGGATGGGCCGTTTGAAGGACTTGGCAGGTCAAACCAGAGTGATGAAACATGTCTGCAACCCATGGCCATGACCAAAGGGTTGAAAGAGGTTTTGCATGGCGCACATATGCATGGCGCACATAGCTAGCTGTTGACCTTTGGCTGCTCGTGCTGTGCCATGGGTACAGAACCTTTGGTGGATCCTGGGACAAAGTTGAAAGCCCTTTCACGAGATGGGCAGTTCCTTGGTGTATCTAATAGCACTGATCAAAGTGATGCACGATTGACAAGACACATGTAGCATTTGTTGGACGCTGTTGGAAGCACTATGGACTATCGTTGGACTATTGGACTATCCAAGGCGTCTTCGCAAGGCGATGTTCAGACATCTTCCTGCTTGGTGCAGGGAGGAGCAGGAGTTAGCCCCTGGTGGTGACCTCCGCCTGGCTGGGAATGCCTGGTTGAGGAAGGTGTGGGATGGATGCCCCAAGATCAAGAGGGTTCCTCGTGAGCCTGAATTCAGGAAGGTGGTATACCAGCTGGTCCATTTGGTTGATATTTGTGCCTTGCCTCACGATCTTCACAAATGATTTTTGAAGAAATTGTAATGTTACAGTGGGCATGGGGGGTACTTGGTTTCCAACCGGGCTGCTGGGTCACAATATACATGATTCGACCAAGGTCCACACAAGAATAAGTCTGACAAGGAAGCTTGGATCCGTGAACAAGCGCCTTGCATGCATGCTTACAAAAATAGTATCTGTGCCATGCATGCACATGCACTGTGTAAGGTTGCAGTCTATGATCTAAGGCAAACCGATGCCACCGGATTATGTCTCGGCATAAAAAGCTATCATCCCGACCTACTTCATCCAGCACGCTGGGGGGCAGTATGCAGCTGGGAAACACAATAGAGCTAATTGATGGATCGGGTTCCGGGTGTTTTATGTCATTTCAAGGGTGGAACCGGAGTCATCTCACTGGCCATGCATCATACACTGCATCATACATGTATGATATGTTTTTGAAGAAATGGTCACTTGCTTCGATAATAAGGGTCTATGTGGCCACTTGAACTTTTCTTGCACGCTAGCCTCTTTTATAAGTCACTTCGAAGAAGCTGCATTTAAGGAATCCTGATGATATGGATACTCTGCCAATGGACCCCACTGCTTTTCCTGTCTTGGAGGAGTCGGCTATGCAGCTTGCATGAATAGTTGCTAGCCAGTGAGCCAGTGCACTAATTTGAATGCCAAATTCTACGGGGGTCCCTTCAACGATGAACTTCCCCCAAGGCGTCGTTGTGGATCTCTTCCTGCAGAAGCCCCTGGTACATCGAAAACAACACAGGCTGGTACCTATAGTTCTTTCCATGCACCCCACAAAAAATGATTGACGTCAATGTGATGTGCACCCACTAGCACTAAGCACTAGCATTTGCCGTGCGAGGATGGTGAAGGAAGCGAAGGTGAAGATTCACAAGGAAGTGAAGGAAGTGAAGGAAGCGAAGGAAGTGAAGGAAGCGAAGGAAGTGAAGCAGGAAGTGAAGCAGCAATCGCAGGAAATGAAGCAGGAGGTGAAAGGAGTGCAGAAGAAGAAGAGGACGAAAATTGTCGGGGCAGGAAACGAAAAAAACCTGGGTCTCCCAATCCTGACCTTCATGGTAGGGATTCATCAGAGGAAGCAAGGTCTGATCCGTTGCTGCAGTGGATTCGAAACTTACAGCCTGCCTTTGAAGAAGCCTGCGATCCAAAAACTGGAGAAAGTGATTCCAAAGAATCCGGGAAAGAGAAGAAAGAAAAAGCTGCGCAGGACTCCGAAGAGGAAGGGGAGAAGGAAGAGGATGCAGAGGAGTCACAAGAAGAGAGAGAAGATGCAAAGCAATCAGATGAAGATGTGAAGGGTTCAGACGAGGAGGATGGCAGGGAGTCAGACAAAGATGATGAGAGCAAAGAAGTAGCACAGGACTCTGAAGGGGAAGGGGAGAAGGAAGCAGAAGGAGAGGATGCAAAGGAGTCAGAAGAGAGAGAAGATGCAAAGGAATCAGCAAAGGAGGATGCACAGAAAAAA